TAAGAACCTGCTGTCACTTAAATGCACCTGCAAACATTTTTGCTACTCAGAATATGACCAAGTTAATAAATTAAGATGAAAATTGTTTAGAAAAGCCTTAGAGGTTGATGCAGCACCCCCATCCCCTTTCCTCACTCTGTGTCCATTTCTGTGTCTGGGATCCTCCATCCTTCTGGGGGTAGGGGGTGGGTTTCAGGCTCCTCACCCAGCAGGGAGCAGACCCTGAAGTGGAATCTTTGACCTAACAGGGTTAGCCCATTTGCTAAAGTGCAAAATGAAACAGCTCAAGGTAAGGACCTTCATCTCAAGACAAGGGTATTCAGCCAGCCAGTCAGCCAACAATTGTCTGCAAAGAGTCTCTGAAGTGCAGAATATTGTGTTGGGTTATAAAGAGGATTCAAAAGGGGTTTGATGGCCCTTGACTCCAGCCAGGGAGTCAAGATAGGTTTTTGAAAAAGTCAGGTACCATTTTGAGACAGTATGTGCTTGGGAGCCAGGTGTGGCTCAAGTAAATGTTTATTACACTTGTGCCCAAGGGTAGGAGCTCCTCACCGCTGGCCCAGGCATGGGAATGGGGGAGGCGGATCAGCAGCCTTCCAGGACAGATGTAAATGCTGAGGCTTTCCTCGGAACATATCTTATTTGTCAGCAGCATGAGCTTTCCTGTCCTAGTTTCCTCAAACTGGAAGGAATCTGATTACTTTTCTGACTGTATATGTTTCAACTGGAGTCCACATGGTGCGCCTGCCCAGTACTGGGAGGTTTAAAGGAAACCAGCTTGTGGTAATCACTGGGGAAATGAAACCTAGCGCTGGTGAAGCACTGGGCAGTTGATGGTGAATTTGGAGAAGCAAAGGTATCAGACGTAGAAAAATTTAGTTCTGCTCAGTGAGGGATTAATGTGGGGATACTTCAAGCTGGGTGGGAGACTGCTGACTTGCAGTCCCTTGCAGATCACGTGCCAAACCTGGCCGTCCTGACGGGAATCCACAGAGGAGAGGCCCTCTCTGGGGCAGCAGAAGGAAAGGGGTGGGATCTGAGCTAGGAGTTGGGACCTAGAGAGAGAGGTATGTAGTATGGGAGGTATGAACAGTCTCTGGGCCTTTCATCCCCCAGGCAGAAGCCACACCGTTTTCTCCTGTGGAGCTGGGAAACTGTATTGGCAGGTGCTCTGGAAGACAATGTATTGCCAGTATTAATGTCAAATTATAATTTCCCAAAATTAGAGATATGACTCTCATAAAGTATAAAGTGAATGTGTCAAAATCTTATTTAACCCATCAATGAGGAAACCAGTGAGGTGGTAACCTGATTCAAAGGGCATTTGAGGAACTGAGTATTTACAGGCTTAATACAGAAACAATGTTAGATTAAGACTGATAGGCTGTACATAAAACTGGATAATGTCCTTTGGGGCAATAAGACAATCTTTGAGATGTTTTCACTATTTTGAAATCTGCAAGTTAACATGTTATCTTACAGTATCTGAGTTCTAATCTGATAGTAAATAGCAAAGTCAAAGTCAGGTACATTTTCCTGGGGAATTAAATGACCCTTGCGAGGGCTTGTGCAACAGTCTGCAGTGTGACCTGGGGAGATACGCTGCCCCTCCTCACCCACCCACCTCCACTCCTGCCCAACTGCCTTAGCCCCAGGTTGTGGGTAGTTGTTATTAACATTTAAAAAAAATACTTTGGAGTTAAAGAAATCTGAGGTTGAATCCCAGTTCCTTCACTCACCAGCTGTGGAATGCTGGGCGGGTAGTTATCTGTGACTGGATTTACTTGCTGCAGACTGGGAGGAGCAATGGAGTACCTTTGTTTAGGCTCTCAATAAATCTCAGTTCTTGTCTTTACCTTTCTTTCTTTTTTAAATGAGAAAAAAGTCACTTTCATTCTGGCCTTCAGAGACCAAGCTTTCTTTCTCTCTTTTTTCTTTCTTTTTCTCTTTTTCTCTCTTATGCTCTCTCTTTCTCATCTCTAGTTTATTACAACAATGTCCTAGAACCCTGGTGGATTTTCTCCATTACTAATGGTGGCATTCTGTTACATTTTTATTACTTATCTAAAGGAAAAAATAGATGTTAACAATTAAAAAAGTTTCCCCTAGCTTTATTGAGATATAATTAACATATAACATTGCATAAGTTCAAGGTGTACAACTCAATGATTTGATATATTTGTTTATTGTGAAATGATTACCATAATAAGGTTCGTTAACACATCCGTCACCTCATACAGTTGTAATTTTTTTTTTTTGTGATGAGAACTTTTAAGATCTACTCTCTTAGCAACTTTCAAACAATGCAGTGTTGTTAACTACGGTCACCATGTTGAACACTATGCTTTATTTAGAGGACATATGACAAAATGGAGAGATGTTACTTCAGTAAAGATGATTTCTTACTGGATATAATTTAGTTTTTCTTGTTTTGAGGATCTGGAGGTGGGGTATGACTTGTTTAAGTGTAAATATTAGCCTTGTCTCCTTTGAAAAGAAGAGCTGTCTTCCCAGTTCATCCTTTCTGAAGCCCACTCGTTAAGTATCTGGGTGTCTGCTGTGTGTCCTGCTCTGGGTTGAGGTTTGCCAGGGGGACGGATGCACAGAAGCTCCCAGCTCTCTGCATTCCTCCTTCCTGGTATAGGTCAGCCAGGTGGGGTTAACAGGGGTGCCAAAGGGACCGGAAGCTGGTGTCTGGCACAGGCAACTGGTCATCACAGCCAGATCTGGGTTTCTGGAGAGCATCGCCTCTCTCCTCCTCCAAACCCTCACGTGATAAACCTCTGTGCTGGCATGTGGGACACTGAGCTGTGATTCAAAATGGCAAAGTCTCTGATACCAAGAGCCTCTTCAGACTTCCGATTTGGAGAAAGGAGTATTTTTCTAGTTAGGAATTTTTATATTGGCCAGAAAAGCATCTTTTTTCTATTGGCTAGTATAGGTTCTTTTGCTTCAGGACCAGTTCCTTTCTCTTCTAGTAGCTGGTTCATGGGCTTCTGATTTTACTTCAGTCACTAATCTCTGCGGAATGAGGATAAGATGGAATTGTTCTTGACTCTCCCTCTCTTACAGAGTATGCTATTAATGTAGGTGGGGTCAGGGATCCCAAATTCTCAATCAGTTCTGCCACTACTAATAATGTTTCTTCTTTGCAGTGTTTACACAGTTTTTTGCTTTCCTGCCTGAATGCTGAATCAGTGGAGTGTACACACTGATCAATATCAATGGCCCACAAGGGAAAAGCTGTGTAACCCTCTTTCCTCATTTCTGTGTCATAGCTCTAAATGAGGTGATGTGGTTGGTGTCTTGATGACTCAAGTTCAGTTCATTCATTCATTAGGCAAAGTGTATCTCTTGAGCAACAACTCTGCTAATAAGCTCTGGTGATTTCTCTGCAAACTTGGTAAATGAGAACCTGCCCTGATGGAGACAGATAATAACCAAGTAAACAAACAGGACGATTAGAGATTATGATGCGTATTGTGAATTAAGGAAATCAGATGACTGCAAGCTATAAGTGAGCTGCTGTTCTTAGCAATTTTAATTAGGGTTATTAGAGGCGGTCTCTGAGAGGGTGGCTTTCTGAGCTGAGAAAGGAAGGATGAGAAGGAGTCAGCCTTAGGATGAGTTGAAGTGAAGAGTATTCTAGGACAGAAAATGCAGAGAGGTGTGGGATGAGTTTGACTTGTGCAAAGCACAGAAAGACAGATCTGTGCCTGAAGTGGACGAGTAAGCAGGCCAGTGAGTGGAGAGGTGATCATGTGCCAGATGGGTCCTTTAGGGTTTCGCAGATCATGGGAAGGAATTTGGGTTTATTCTAAGTGTGATGGAAAACTTTTAAAGAGGTCCAAAGCAGTGGAGTGGAATGAGCTTATTAAAAGAAGAGAAAGAAAAGAGTAACTGTAGCTCTGGTGTGAAGAACTGAATGAAGGGTGTCAGGCAGGGGAGGAGGGAGACCAGCGAGGTCCTTGTGCTTGGCTATGGTGATGGTGGTAGGGCTGTGAGAGAAGGATGCTGTGAAGATTCGACTAGGTAATGGTGGGTCCCAAATACCTGGATGAGGAGCTGGGATTTGATTTTCACAGCTGTGAGGGAGTTTTGTTGATGTATGAGTTTGTGGGTGAGGGTATTTGTGTGTGTGTGTGTGTGTGTGTGTATGACTGAGTTTATGGGTGAGATAGTGAGTCAGTGTGTATGCATGTGGGGTGCATGTGTGGATTTACGAGTGTGTGTGTGTTGTATTTAGGTTCTTCTCTTGCAGCTTTTTAACAGGCCAGTGGCATGAAGGAGAGGGCTGCCTTTTATGGTGCAGATAAGAGGCTAAGTGGGAATTTGAAAATTGCGCCTCTTGGGGAGTGATGGAAATGTTAAGGATCTTTGATTGTGGTAGCAGTTTCATTGGTATATACATCTATCAAAATTCATCAAAGTGTACATCTGAAATATGCATAGTTTACTGTACAGGAAACATACCATAATAAAGGTGTTAAAATTTTTTTAAAATAAAAAAAAGAAAAGGCTGGTGGCAGGAGACTTGCTGGGAAGGTAGTGGCGTTCGATGTGACGCGATGGCCTGGGGTGCTCACTTGGCTGCAGTGGAGAAAGAGACAACTGAATTGGGCACATCCTGTGCTTTGTTTGTTTTATTCTGTTTCTGGGTTGAATGAGACTGAGGAATGAAGACTCCGTTAAGGAGTCACATTCTCTTCAAATTAGCCCAGTTTGATTGCTAGCTGAGTATTTTACTAGTCTTAATTATTAAAAAAAAACAAAACTAAACTAAATTAAACCTCACTTAAATGCATATGCTTGGTTCTCAGAAAAGAATCATTAGGAGAGTTAAGTGGAATGATTCTACTGCATTTCACCAAAACTGTCCCCCTCCGCCCCTGCACATGCGCACGTGCGTGCACACACAGACACATAAACACACACTTTCTCTTTTATATTTAAAGTTCTTGATTCTTGAGAAACTCACTATATTTTTTGTTCCCCTCCAGGACATCTTTGAAGATGCCTTGGAAACCCTCTCTATGTAAGTAGTAACGTAATAAAAAGTACGTAGTAAAGAAAAATTGATGGTTTTCTTGTAAAAACTGTAAATATTTCATTCTCATTTTTTTGAGCATAGTGACCACTGTCAGAAAAACTCACTTCTCTATAATTTAACAGTTGGGATGTGACTAAGCTTAAGAAAGGATCTACTCTACATTTACTATCAAATCTGTGTTGAGTATTATTTCTTGTAGTATGAACTAAATAAACTAGAAGAAAAATGTTTCCCAACAAATTACATTTTATTTGTGTATAGCTAACCCTTTTATATTTTGTCCATATTTATTTACATGATTTGCCTCATATTGTAAAATTTTACTTTTGATTTGCACTTAATTTTATTAAAAGCATTTACTATGACCCTACATAATTTTTGTAATGATTTTAAATGACATCATATTAGATCAAGTGGAACACGACAGCTCCCTTACCCATTCCTCCATCGTTAGATATTTAGGTTGTTAAATGTTGCTGGTTTAAAAACTTAAAACTAAGGAATGAATATTTTAATGTGTTTAGCTTTGTCATATTTTTAATGATCTCCAGAGACTTCGATGTAGGATTGATTATTGTATTAGACAGGATGAATATTTTTATTGCTCTTGATTTGATATTTCTCAAGGTGCCTTTCTGTATTAGTCTGCTCAGGCTGCCATAACGAAATACCATAGACTTGGTGGCTTAAACAACAGAAAGTTATTTTCTCTCAGTTATGGAGCCTGGAGGTCTGAGATCAGGGTTCCAGTAGGGTTCCAACTGACAGTTGTGATTTGTCTGCTTTTCCCTCATGATTAGACTGAGGTCATGTGTTTTTGGGAGGAAGACCACAGATAGAAAGCATCATTCTCATCACATTATATCAAAGGTACACGTTATCAACCTGGCTACTAGTGTTGATGCTGAACTTGGTCACTTGACATAGTGTTTGTCAGGTCTTCCCACTTTAATGTTACTTTTTTCTCCCTTCCTTTTTGTACTGTACTCTTCAGAAGATAATTTGTTAATGTGATTTTTAAAAATTACTTTTATGGTGAGTGCATAATTTGCCATGCAGAAATCTTATAATTATTCAGCCCTGCTGCTGCTGCTCTGCTCTGAGTGTGGGCAGGAACAGAGCTTGCGTTGCATGGGACACTGGAGTCCGGGAGGTGGAAAAGGATCAGATTGTGGGGCTGGTGCCTGGAATTCACCAGTGGAGGCACTGCTGTTCCCAGAGGAAAGCTAGAACACCAGACACACACTAAAAAGGGGTTCAGGTCTCAGAGATGAAAACAGGTCAGACTGATGTAATTGATGTGACTGATGGGTGGTGCACATTAAAACGTGTGTTTCTCTGAGCTTTCACTGGCTGCATTAGACTGGCAGTGGATTTACCTTTAAGTCTGAAAGGCACTGTGAGCAATTTCTAACATCTATTAGTTTTTTTAAAAAGTCAAATCAGAGAAACAAACATGTAAGGAGCTTGGAAGTTGCCACTCTGTCCTTACAACAGGTAAAGAGCTAAACAGACTTGAAAAATCTACAGCTCATTTTGGATCCATAAGAAAGGGGAGGATACAGGGTAAACAGCTGCCCTCAAAATTGGAAAGACAGACAAGGCAAATACTGGGAGTCATGCACACCAGAGCGGAAGCCAGTGCTGGGGTGGGAAAAAAATCTCAGCTGTGATTGATACATTGCTGGAGGTTCTGAGAATTAAGAACCACAGGCGGACCCACCCATATGAAGCACCCTCCAACCCCAGCATGTGAGATTTACCTCTGGAAGCTCCACTAGGTTCCCACAGTAAATAGGAGAGAAAAATCCCTAGGGCTTCTGGCAGAGTGAGGAGGAAAAGAACCATTTTGAAATACACCAGAGTTTACTGCCTTCAGGGGAAAATAGTTTACCAGAGCCTAACTGACCTGGGGAACTCCAGCCCATTCTAGCCATCCTGTCCCATCTAAGAAAAGCTAAGAAACACTTGAAAAGTTCCCAGTCCAGAGCCACAGGCTCCCTAAAAGACGGACCAATCACAGGACTATAGACTGTTTCCTTTCCCCACACTTCACCACTATGTGACCACAGGCTTCTTAACAGCAGTTCCTTTTATCTGGTATATCATGTTTAACTGTCAAGAAAAATGACAAAGTATACCAAAAGGCAAAAAACACAGTTTGAGGAGACAGACACGGCAGAGATGTTGGAATTGTCAGATTGGGAATTTAAAACAACTGTGGTTACCATGTCTAGGGCTCTATGGATAAGCTAAACAGCATGCAAGAACAGATGGGCAATGTAAGTAGAAAGGTGGAAATCATAAGAAAAACCAAAAAAAAATGTTAAAGATAAAAATCACTCTAACAGAAGTAAAAAATGTCTTTGATAGGCTTATTAGACTAGACACGGCTGAAGGAATCTTGAAACTAGAGGATATAGCAATGGAATCCTCAAAAACTGAAAAGCAAAGAGAACAAAGACTGAAAAAAGCAGCAGAATGTTCAAGGATTGTGGTACAGTTACAGCAAGTATAACATATGCATAATGGGAACACCAGGAATAGAAGAGAGAAAGGAACAGAAGAAATATTTGAAACCATAATGTCTGAGAAATTCCACAGTTAATGTTAGACAGCAAACCACAGATCTGAGCAGCTCAGAGAACACCAAGCGGGATAAATCCACCACCCTCAAAGATGACCCTTGGGTTTATTATCTTCAAACTATAGAAGATCAAAGATAAAGAAAAAAATCCTGAAAGAAAAAAAAAACCTTACCTATAGAGGAGCAAGGATAAGTATCACATCCAACTTCTCCTCAGAAGCCAGGCATGCAAAAGAAAGTGGAGTGAAATGTTTCAATGTTGAGCAAATAGAACTATCAACCTGGAATTCTTTACTCTCTGAAATTACTCTCAAAGTAAGGGAGAAATAAAGACTTTCTCAGGTGAACAAAAATAAAAGGAATTTATTGCCCATAGACATGCTTTGCAAGACATATTAAAAGAAATTCTTTAAAGGAAAATAATGTGGGTTAGAACCTCAGATCTACATAAGGAAGAGCATCAAAGAAGGAAGAAGTCAAATAAAAATTTTTCTTATTCTTAACTGATCTAACAGATAATAGTTTGTTGAAAATAATACCAACAATGTATTTGATTATGTATGCTTATGTTTATATCTTATGTATATATGCATGCTTATGTATGCTTACATATAAGTGAAATGAATGACAGCAATGATACAAGCTCCAAGAGGGAGGAATTAGGATTATTTTGTTATTATAAGGTACTCGCATTACATGGACTTAGCCCAATTGAACTTAATTTAGATCTCATACCAACCCTAAAATTGCTAGCCCACTATTCCAACACCATTTGCTAAGTCTGTGAGTGAAAGAATGTATGTATGATGCCTTCTTTATCATATAATACATTTATTAAAATAATAATGCTCTGTATATTAATTTTGTATCCTGCAACTTTATCAGATTCATCGATGAGCTCTAGTAGTTTTCTCGGGTTGTCTTTAGGATTTTCTGTATATAGTATCATGTCGTCAGCAAACAATGACAGTGTTACCTCTTTATATAAGATGCTGATGAAAGAAATTGAAGACCAAACAGATGGAAAGATATACTGTGTTCTTAGATTGGAGGAATCAACATTATTAAAATGACCAATACTACCCAAGGAAATCTACAGATTCAGTGCAATCCCTATCAGATTACCAATGGCATTTTTCAAAGAACTGTAACAAAAATTTTTAAAATTTGTATGTAAACACGAAAGACCCCAAATAACCAAAATAATCTTGAGAAAGAAAAATGGAAGTGGAGTAATCACGCTCACGTCAGACTACACTAGAAAGCTACAATAATCAAACTGGTATGGTTCTGGCACAGAAACAGATACACAGATCAGTGGAACAGGATAGAAAGCCCAGAAATAAACCCACACACTTATGGTCAATAGATCCATGACAAAGGAGGCATGAATATACAATGGAGAAAAGACAGTCTCTTCAATAAGTGATGCTGGAAAAACTGGACAGCTTCATGTTAAAAAAATGAAATTAGAAAATTCTCTAACATGACATACAGAAATAAACTCAAAATGGATGAAAGACCTAAATGTAAGAAGGGATACTATAAAACTCCTAGAGGGAAATATAGCCAGAATGCTTTTTGACATAAATCACAGCATTATTTTTTTGAATCCATCTCCTAGAGTAATAGAAACAAAAGCAAAAATAAACAAATTGGACCTAATTAAACTTAAAAGCTTTTGCACAGCAAAGGAAACCATAAACAAAACAAAAAGACAACCTTTAGAATGGGAGAAAATATTTGCAAGTTATGTGACCAACAAGGGCTTAATTTCCAAAATATACAAACAGCTTTTACAGCTCAATATCAAAAAAACAAAGAACCCAATCAAAAAATGGACAGAAGACCTAAATAGACATTTCTCTGAAGAAGACCTATACATGGTCAACAGGCGCATGAAAAGATGCTTCATGTTGCTAATTATAAGAGAAATGCAAATCAACATTATTACAGTGAGGTACCACCTCATACTGATCAGAATGGCCATCATCAAAAAGTCTACCAATAATAAATGCTGGAGAGGGTGTGGAGAAAAAGGAACCCTCCTACACTGTTGGTGGGAATGTAAATTGGTGCAGCCACTATGGAGAATGTATGGAGGCTCCTTTAAAAACTAAAAATAGAGTTATCTTATGACCCAGCAACCCCACTCCTGGGCATATATCTGGAAAAGATGAAAACTCTTAATTCAAAAAGATATATACACCACAGTGTTCATAGCAGCACTATTTATAATAGCCAAGACATGGAAGCAGCCTAAATGCCCATGGACAGATGAATGGATAAAGAAGATGTGATGTGTGTATATATATATGTATATATCACACACACACACACACACAGGAACATTATGCACCCATAAAAAAGAATGAAATAATGCCATTTGCAACATGGA